TCAGCCTAGGTTCACTATCCGAGCTCACATCTAGTTCGTCAGTAGGGTAGACAAAAAGATCATCGAGCTTACCCGAATCAGCTTGTTCTGGAGGCAGTGAAGTTTGTAGATCTTTATCTTCGATCTTAGTTGTTTTCTTGCTGTGGTTCTTCGGGTATCTCCGCTTCTTGCGTCTTTTCTTCTGGACTTTCGAGTTCTTGGATCTCTTCGCCTACTTTGTCTTCTTTGCTATTGCGAAGACTCTCCCTCGGATTTCGGCGAGATTCTTCTGATGGGTTCTCTTCTGGATCTTCTTCAGCACTCACAAACGAGTTTGAAGATTCTTCTTTCCTGGGTTCACTCGATTTTCCTTCTCTAGATGAACCTTCCTCTGAGTCAAGGTGATGATCCTCACTCTTTTCTTCTCTCTTTTCTTTTGGATCCATGCTGAGACTGAATCTAGGGATTTTATTCTCTCTTCGTTACTCTCTGTTGGACCTCACACTCGTGCGAATCAACTTCCCAGATTTTAGGGTTCTTCAGTTCCAGAACTTCGCAGGGATAGAGAGAGAAACACCTCTTTTTATTGTGGGCAAAGAGTTTGTTTTGGGAATCTCTGATTTTTCGGATCCCACTTCCCCATAACCGAACATTTACTCAACCACTCACATCAATCTTTTCAAAAATAACGTTTAAAAAATAAATGAAACAGAAATCCGTTACGCAATAACTTACGATTTTAACACCAAAGGAATTCATTCTTTCGTACCTTAGTTCGTAGTATATCCAGTTGAGTCAGTGACACCTCACGCTTTGTCCAGTGCATACTTCACGAACCATGGATACATTTTTCTCGTATTTTTTTTTTCTTTCATCCACCTGAACTTCTAGGACGTTGTGTCCGTTCATACTGTTTCACCACTTAAGTCCAGCCTATCTCTCTTGGATATACTCTTGTAAGAGCTAACTTACAGCGGAGTATGATGAATCATTGTCATCAGACCTTAGACCGTCGAATGGACAATATGAGGCTCCTGAAGTGTTTAAGTGAAACAGTGTTGAAAGGGCGGTCAGTGATACTTCACAAAATAGTCAGGTGCACTTCAAAGATTGGTGATACAAAAATCCCCTGGTACTCCTCTGTCAGTGTACACTCAGTAAACAATGAGTGATATTTCGCAATAAAAAAAAAAAAAAAAAAAAAAAAAAAAAAAAAACCTGACATGAGTAGATTAAATAAATCGCTCGGGTCTAAGTTGAGCCTCATATTGTCCATTCGACGGTCTAAGGTCTGATGACAATGATTCATCATACTCCGCTGTAAGTTAGCTCTTACAAGAGTATATCCAAGAGAGATAGGCTGGACTTAAGTGGTGAAACAGT